CGTTCAGTCAGGGCATGCCTCAGAGAAATTGACTGAAGCCTGCCTTCTCTGAAGAAGCTCGTTCGCATTTTGGCTATTTATTGAAACTACAATGGAGTACATCCTGATTAGTACGAATATTTATGAACCCATTCAGGGACTAAGCCTTTGGATCGACTCACTAACGGATAATGTTGCTGAAGACCGCATCCTCAAGAATAAGGATATTTTCGCTACTTAAACACGCGTTCAAAATGTATGAAAACGCGGTACTAAACCTGGAACTCATTATATGGACACCTAACGCAAAACCACACGCCCACCGTTACAATGTCTGCAGTCTCGCAGCGCACTATGCATTTTCGTTTCCGTCTGTTTCTTTCTCACCTCGTCGCTTTTGAAGCATATCTCCTGAACTTTCCCATTTGGCTTATGAGCCTCTTGTTTGCTTCTTACTTTACTAAACGTCAATCAGCGCGTGCAGTTTCATTCTGAAGCCCATATCTACTCCCTTTTCGCTGCGATCTCGCTGAGATTTCTTTTAGATCAATCTGCTGCCGTTGGTTTTTACGCCTTGTGTGTGGGTCATGATCACACACTAATATACCAGCAACTACAGGGTGGGGCAAAATTACTGGTGCACCAATATTTTGTTGGCATTTCGAGACTAGCTTTCAGAAATCGATTCTAATCACGAATATTATTTGTAGAAAAGATGACAATTCAAAACATATTAACAGTTTTCAAAATGATCGCCTCTAGCCTTTACACAGTTCTTGAGCATTTGGCATACGCATGCCATGTGGCACGCAGGTATTTTTCATCAATTTTGTCCCAGGATTCCAAAAGCGCCGTCATGAGAAGGTTCAAATTTCGGTAATTGATAGGGCAGACTTTTTCCTTTAGGATAGCCCATACTTGGAAATATATCGGTCTATTCGTCATAACTGATGAAGTTGAGGGTTTGCTCGGTGCACTGTTCCTGGACCATTCTCGGTCAGTGTCCTGAAGCAAACCCTTCGGTGAATTCACCCGTAATCCTCTCCAAAGTAAAGACACGCCCATGGTTTTGAACAAATAACGAGTTTGAAGCGCTGTTTGTACAAAAATTATAGGATAAAGGATAAAGCATTTGCCGTTGATCAATCCCTTTTTGGGATGCGGCACGCATTCTACTTCCATTTGTACATTCGTAGTGGCGTTTGAATGCGATGTGGCCTATACAATGATCCTCCCAGACAAGTCTGGTACCAATTAACCGACCCCGGAGGGATGGAAGGCTTGGTTGGCCCGGGCGACTCACGACCCAGGATTTGATCCCCGGACCGCTCGCGTGGTAAGCGTGCCACTTGCCACTACACCACTTCCGCCCCAACCTGAACAAAATATTAGAATTTGAAAAATCGTCGAGAACGGTTTAGCATAGCGCTCTGTTGGAGGTTGATTGGTGCGCTTCGCAAAGTGGAAGGCCTAACCACTTTGTGATCAGGGCGTATTAGTAGCAGCGTGTTCAAGCTACATATCATGAAAGAATCAGACGAGAAAGTCTACAACAAGATTTAGAAAATTCCATTATATGTAAGTAGGTGCACCAGTAATTTTGCCCTACCCTGTACATGAGAAAATTGACCTACAAATCCTGGTGAACAAATGCATGGCTGTTCGAAGAATAGGGTAATCAGAGCTAGACAATGAATACGAGCTAATTCGGATTCATGGGTTGAATATGCGGAGACATTTTTCCGTCGATGAATAAATTACCATACACTCTA